ACCAAAATAAATAAATAAATAAATAAAAGGAAAAGAAAAGAAAAAAAGAAGAAGAAAAAGATAAAGATAAAGGGGGAGAGAACTAATATGCAACTAACAGCTTTAACAACGAGAAATCCCCCTAAGGTTTTTAAAGTGACATTTTTACTCCCATTTTCCAATTTATAGTCAAATAATCGCCAATGTTTAATATAGTCATCAAATTCCAAACTAACAAGAAAATAGCAACTCATTCGACCATCAGAACTCCACCCATGTGATAAAAAGATACGAACTTTGTGCGCAAATAACTAAAAAATTGATACCTTAGGGGCGACAACGGTGGCAGCTTTAACAACGAGACCCCTAAAGCTTCTCCTATCGACTCCAACCCCTAAAGCTCCAATGGCGGGAGAAACCCTAAACGTCGGCAGCAAGACTCTGAGCCCATCTAAGGACGGCACATTTTTCTTCATTGTCAATCCCAATCCAATTTGTTGCAACGCCGCCATTGATTACTACCTGAAATCAATCAAATTTGGTATGCTTTTGAGAATTTTTAGCAGAAATTGATGACAAATTGATTAAAAGTAAGAAATGAGGGATTTGATGACTTACAAATTGGAGGCAAAGTTTGATTGAGGTTTTGAGAAATTGGATAAACCCTTTTGAGTAAGAGAAATGAGAAAAACCTAGCGCGCTTTATGGGATAGGACAGTTCTGATGCACTCTAGGAGGTGTTTATTTATCCGGTACTAGCGCTTTAGTCGCGGTTGTCAGTTTGTTCGTATTTAGAGTATGAAGATGGTTAAGATTTTCAGGAGGGTTATTATAGTTTGAAGTCGTTCTGATAAATGGGTTGTGGAAAGTTCTAGAACACCGTGATAAGAGGTTAATTTGATGCTTGGTAAATGTATTTCTCATTTAATTGGATGTTTATATCTATATTTTAATTGCTTGGATAGTCAGTTATGTAATTTATAATAAACTATGCGGGATTCTTGGTCACTTATAGAAATGAAAAATTGTAACATATTGCAAACTTGTATTGCATACTTATATTACATTTGACACTTTATTCTTAAAAAAATGAACTTGTGATTTATTTAGTAACTTCTTTGCTAAAAATGAATGAAAACATAAAAGGAAGTGTTAGAAGAGACCAGACATCCGACTGGTATTTACTTGACCGGTCATCTAGTTATGAACATCCAATAGGACATAAATATAGTGACCGTCAATTCAGTTAGTTCCGTGAAGAGGTATGGGTGACCAGGGCTTTGAATATTAATATGGACAATTATGAATCTACTAATTACAATTGTAAAGATGACGCTTGAGTCTAACTCCACATTAGCACGCCATTTGTTTTATGTTCTTGTGGAGTTTTTGCTAGATATTGGTTAGGTTAGGTCTAGGATTAAGGTCTAGAATATAGAAAAATTAATGACTATTAGGCATATCGCAGGAAAATTAGTGACTATTAGACCTATCGCAGGTGATCCAGAAAGGTTAAGAGGTTCCGATATGATTCCCACGGTCTCGGGTTTGATTCCGGACCGGGTTATCAGAAAAATAAAAATAAAAAATAGTGAGTATTGAGTTAGGTTATAAACAATGGAACTTTAATAATTAGCCTTTGTTATAACTCTAGCCCTCACCCCAAATCTTAATTCTACCGCTGGCCAGTATAGTTTACACCATACCTTGGAATGCCAGCAGCAAATAATAAAAAAAGGTAAAATATACATTTTGGAATAGAGTTGTAATTCCTCGTTCTTGTCACGAGTAAACATAGACATGGATTTTTGCATCCATATGGGATATTTCATACTCGGAAATCAAGAAAATTGAGAAAATACTTGTTTTTTTTTCTTTTCTCTCTCTCCAGATTTTAAAGATTGGTACATAGCAAGCATGGTGCAATCATGATACAATAACTCTCCGAGCTCAATCTCGAACTATAACAGTGGCCAGACCCACTAAGATATTAACATCTGTGAAATACTTGCACAATTATAGGCTAAGACAAATAGCTTGAAACTGCACTGATCGCTTGGATGTTGACTTCTACTCGCCAAGTGAGTAAATTATCAAGTGAGTAAATGCCTCTCTCTGAATCCTTAATAACCATTCTTGATTTCATATGCCTTGGCTACTCATAGACATAAAATAACCTGTAAGTTTAACAGCAAAGTTAGAATCAAGTTGATTCATGTTCCATGGAAAAGGTAAATCAAATTTTTGATGTCAGAATAGGCAAAAACATACTTCATTGAAGAACCTGATCTTCGTCTAAAACAGAATATCAATGGCTTTGGCCGCTGTTTTGATTGCTCAGATGAGAATTCCTGAGAAATTGCGAGTGCATTGCTGGAGTACTGTAACCCTGGCAAAACCCCAGAAAAATAAACTAATTATGCAACATCATTTTTGAAGTTCTATTTATATTTGTTTCTCGGTTTGCAGTAAACATTCATGGTCTACAAGTATATGTTTCTATTGTTTTACCGGGGTTAGCTGAGCAGTTCCAAGGAATGAATGCTGATGCAAATCAGATGCTGGAGATTCCTACACGCATCCCATCTTTATATCAATTTCAAGAAGAGTTAAAAAATGGAATTTCCCTTAAAAAACTACTTATACATGCTTACTTGAGTAAATTGATTCATGCCATGAAAACCCTGTTGTTGAGCACAAGGCAATGGCAAGGGAACTTGCAAAGAAGTGGCAGTAGGAGACCTAAGATCATCATTTGCAACGTCTCGGTTATCCTCATTTCCGACCTTGGCCTCTTTTGTCCACCTCTTTAAGAAATACCTGATTGGCAACTCCTTGATGTTTCTAAAATCAAGTACTTTCAGCACATGACAACATTGTATTCCCACAAACTCAAACTTCTTACAGCTACAGATGGCAGAACAATCGGTTGAATCGAATCTAACAAAGTGCTCTTTAGGATTTTCTGTGACGGAAACTCTATATTCAGATATTGTCTCAACCTCCCCACAACTAAATAGCATGCAATCCATGAACATCTCAAACTCCTTTCTAAATATTTCAAATACCACAGGTGTATATAAGTTAGCAGCTTGTCTCAACATCTTGGAAGGAGGTATCCTAGGGAAGCTTTGGCTGGCATGGAAATCTGCTTGTAGTTCTGCATAACGATGCTCATCCACAACTCTTTCATAATGCTTAAAAAAGGACAAGAGATCCAGTTGTGGACTTAAATACTTTTTGAGTGTACTACTCAAGGTTTCGCCTTGTAATGTGGTTTTCATGTCAGCACAGAATGTTTGGCGACCATATGGAAGAGCCCATTTATCCCGCTCATCAAAGATTTTACTCAACCACTCATTGTTTCTAAGATCATATTTTTCTATTAACGCTCTCCATGCCAACAAGAAATCTTCCTCTTCCTCATAATCATATATACATCTGCTGAAATCTTTTGCAAAAGTTTTTGAGCCTTGGAATACATGGTTAAGGTGCTTTGTAGCATTCTGATACACATGCCACACACACATACGCTGAGCTGTACCTGGCCATGCTAAAGCCAATGCACTACTCATTACTGGAGATTGGTCGGTCAAAATTGTCTTTGGTTGTTTCCCTCGCATTGCAATCTTGAAAGTCTCGAATATCCATTTGAAAGATTCCATAGACTCGTCATAAATCAATGTTGCACCGAAGATAACAGTCTGTTTGTGATGATTGACGCCGAGGAATAGTGCAAACGGTCTGCCATATCCATGTATTCTGAAAGTAGTGTCTAAGCAAACAACATCACCAAAAGATTTGAAGTCCCTCACAGATTTTGCATCCGCCCAAAAGATGTTAGTCATTTTATCGTCCTCATCAACTTGTATGCCGTAAAAGAAAGATGAGTTATTAAGTTGCATGCTCTGTAAGTATTTTAATATTGCCCCAGCATCACCCATTTGCATGGCCTTCATACGTTTAGTTCTTAGAAAATTTTGATAATCTACAGGAAGAAAATTGACATTTCGAAGGCCTCCAACTTGTCTTGCACTTGGCTCATTCTGAGATTTTGGGGTTGTTCCTGAATCATCTGAGAGATCTGGTTCAGAACCTTGAATCTCAGTAACTATCCTCTGTGATCTTAACATGTGAGTTGTTGATGGAGGTGCAGGCTGATGGTTATGATCTTGTATGAATTCTGTCACCCGGTATTTACCACTCGGAGTGATTTTGATTGTCATTCGTGCGGGGCAACCAATTCTTGTTTCTGGCCGTGGCCTCTTCACTTCCTTTGCTCCTTTCTTGTCCTTTCGAAACCCTTCCCTTGAGCAGACAAATGTCCTAGATCTAGTAATGTTTTCAGAAGATTTATCTGATGAACTTTTTCGTACACTGAAGCCTACAACACCGGCATATTTATTGTAGAATTCATATGCTTTATCTTCACTGTCGAATTCCATGTCAATTTCTGGCACTGCTTTTGCATTAGTGTTGTCTATAGGAACATCAGAATCGATCATTCTTCTCATTTTACCCTGTTTATTCAAATTCTAGAATGATCTGTTAGTTTAGAAAAGAAGTGGGGAAGAATTAGACAACTCCCAGCTTATCTTATCATGTACATCAAGTACGATAGTAGAGCTTTTCAGGTATTGAAAACGACAAGCAAGAACTTCCAAATTGAAATATAAAATTATTAACTATAATGAAACAGAATGCATGACCAAAAACCTTGACACATAAAGTATATCAGTTATCGTTATCTAATTGGAAAATACACATCTGTGATACCTTTACGAATTACGAGTTAAATAGGGATTCAACCTCGAACTGAGGAAGAACATGGGTACATCACTTGTTGATGTTAGATTCTGGGCCCTTTTGATTAGTCCATGGAAAATAAATGGCCTAGAAAGTTTGGTGTCATGAAATAATTTGGCAAGACTCAACAAGTTGGAATTTGAGAAAAATCTGGTAAAATAGGAAATAATTTGGTTATAGTTAGGGGCTGTTTGGTTGCACACTTTTTGAGAAAACTTTTCTCAAAATATCTGACAATGACAAATTTGTAATTAAAAGTTTTTTAGAGATTTCTGTAAATTGTGTTTGGTTCAACAAAAAATTTATAGAAATATTTTCTATAAAATATCAAAACCTACCAAATTTTACAAAAAAAAATTTCCTCTCAAAATGAGAGGAAATCACCAGAAATCTGACACATACCATATTTAATTAAAAATCTACCAAATCTTGTTATTTTCTATAAAGTTATGAACTATTTTCTTGTTTTGAACCAAACAAGCAAAGTACAAAAAACAAGAAAATTGGTACTTTTTGATTTCACAAAACTTTTCCTATAATTTTTTTAAGAAATACAAGGAAATCATATTTTAGGTGGAAAACATTTCCTATAATTTCTAGAAATTGAACCAAACACCCCCTTAGGCACTACAATATAGGTAGGAACAGACAGAACCAGAAATGTGTACGTGTTGGTGCAAGTATTTGTTGGTGATGGTGTAGATTTTAGTAGTTGTATGATTTGGATTCTCTTTTTGGAGAAGTGAAAAAATGGCAATGAGAATGTGAATCTTACTTCTGTAAACGATTTGTATACTAAATGCGTATCTGTTTGGATTTTAAAATATTTGAAAATTATTTCTGAATTTTCAGAAAATATATTTGTCTTGTTTTCTACTAGTAGCAAAAGATAGTATGTGGTTTTACACGTGATACAGTGTAAGCTGCAGATTTTATCCTGGCCACTAAGAAATTTAGATTTTTGTAGTCTTAACTAAAGATCCTAGAAGCAGATTTTGAACTTATCAGTTGCTTGCATAGTCCAGTACAGATATGTAATCCTTTCTTCTTGACCTTTGTATTTATTTTTCTTACTTAAAGAGGCCCTTTACGGCAAATGGCTGTTAGCTTGAGCTATTGTCATCAATCTTTTAGTTGGTAACCGATCATTGCAAGAGTATCTGCTAAGTAGCTGAGAATCAACCCTGCCGGAGGTTTACAAGCAATGAGGTAGATTGAGTTAAAAAAAAGGGTTATTAAGCCATAAGCCATGAAGTAGGAGGGTGTATAAAATTCAAGGCAGCAGTATTATTTTTTCCATCACCAACATTCAGATAAATACATCAGTGTCAGAGAACCAGAAAAATAAGAGAACGTGAATATGGTGGATTTTGCAGATCAGATCATATAACCAAATTATAACATCAAGAGAATTTGCGCATCGAAGGCATTAATAACTTGGAACATTTACATGCATAGTAATGAATCTACAAGAAACATGTTCAGGATTATTTTTTGACCACTTTGCCTCTTCCTTCTTTCTGTTTGTTGGGAAGAGGGTTCAGAACTAAGACATAATATATCACCTTTTCTTGTGTAAATGAGAAATTGCAATTGCACACAGATTATAACAGGAGAAGTGAGAATGTCACTGCCCAGCTTAAAGTTGCTCCTGATATCCTAGTCACAAAGTACAACTAATAATATGCACCCACAGAGGATTTTTTAAAACTATAAGCAATAATTTTTATTTTAAATAGCACCTATCTATGGTATGATACATCTGTAGCATTACTAATGATTACATATGAAACCTACTAAAGCAAATCAAAGTTACCCGTACCAAAGGCAGCCAGGATAATGTTATCTAGTTCAGAGCAATATGATGAATTTCTGAAAATGTTGCGCATATGGACCAAAGCTCATAAAGAATTTGGGTGAAACAGCCCATTTTAACAGCATAAAGCATAAATATTTTGCAAGTGTATTAATACAAGAAAAAAGATCACCTCATCCATAAGATAGGTGTTGCATAACTACCTTTGTCCATGCAATTCCACAGGCATTGCATAAAGTTCTCGGTCCCTCCGGGCCACGACGCATATGTGGCGTAGAGTTTGCACTGATACCACAACGAAGACATCTGAGCAAGTTGGAAAATGTTAGAAAAGAACACTAGCAGTGATCTTCAAAATTGAGCTATTAGGAAGCAAGCAAAAATAAACATACGTCTCTCAGTTCTGTGCAAGTTTGGGACGCAGTTTCAAAATATATTAGAATACTAGATTTGACAACAAGTTATTGCATTCTGAAAGCGCTTCATAATCTATGTTTTTGGAGGCCTCTAAAATGAATCTTTGCATCTGATAAATTTATTAAATCATACATAGTGTGCTTGAACAAAACTTCTACGAAAATCCTTTTTAATTACATTAGGAATAACTCTTCAGACCACTCAATCCAATCCAAACAGATCAACAATCTCCATTAACAATCTTCAGTTCCTATGAAACACATAGAAATCATCAAATTCTCTACAAATGTTCTTCACTCGTTATCATGGAATCCTTAATCCAAGAACCGCTTTGCAAGCTCCACCAGTAAGCATCGTGTATCCATGTTCACACATGGAGTTCAACTCACATCGATACAAACTCTCATGACTAACT